ATCACTGTTCTTAATACTTTCTTTGGAACTGGTCAAATAATCAATGGTTGTTTAAATTCTCTGTGGTAAGCATGACAGCTACCATGGTGAGACTCAAAAGTGAGTAGTATCAACAAAGGGGACACTGAACAAGGAGGTGCAGATAAATGAAGGAAAATCTAAGCAAAGCATCAGCAATAAATACGGCAAGATCTGAGACCAATGTTTTGCTCAATGTACACAGGTATATACAGACAAATTTCTTCTTTGGCATTTTAAAGATTCGACACATCTCCCTGTTACACTGTCTGCAATATACCAGGACCAAATACATTTTATTGCCTGTATAGTGAGCCTAGGTGCCCTTAAATGGTAGACAGCAAAGATGAAAATTAATTTCCAACAAAATCGATAAACTAAAATAGCAAATAAAAATAAATCATTTAGAGCTGAAGTAGGGATCAAATTGATGGGAATCAGGCATCCTAATTTGAAAAAGTATTTATTTAAGAGCATACAAAACAAGAAAAAAGCTGATAGACCTTTTTTTTTTTTTTCTTTTTCTGGTGGCTACAAATGGTTTTTATATTCTCTATGTGCTTGCTATGCAAAATCCATTAACTCTTATGTGCTATGTTCCCCAAAGAGCCAATCAAGTGCTAGTTTTTAGGCACTACAGCACTCCCCTGCTGAGGTTGGCCTGAGGAAAACTAATAAAATACATGTGCTGCTGCATGTGATAAACTGGATCCTTGGTTTCTTCCAGCTGCTTTCCAGTTACTGTTAATCCTCCTGCTGGTAGGTTTAATCCTCATTTTGAAAAGCGGTAATCAGCTCTGTGTCAGGTTTACATTTGTCTTCTACTTGTGTCTCTGTTTGTAGTAGGGGAAACATTCCTGTTTATCCAGTGATGTGCATACAGAACTTGTATAGACCTCAAGTGGAAAACATCTGATATATCCAGTAGATACAGAACTTTTTCATTGAGTGGGAAAGTGAAATTATATCAGCTCTTTGAAAGAAGGGTATTTGGAGGTTATTATTTCTCTGTGTGGCAATATACTACCTGAGCAAAGCCTCCAAACAAAAGGCTGTATTGTAAATTATGTGGAAAGGCTGAGAATGAAATCATCACTAAGGGCTGAATAATGAAAAGATAAAAGAAAAAAACTAAAGCAGCCCCAATATGTAACAGACACATGGTTTTCAATTATTTATTTGTCTGCTATTTGGAGTGAGAACTTAAAACTGAAAAATTATAATGATTTGTTTAAAAACAGGAAGGGATTTTAACACTTTTGATCCAATACAGTTGAGTGCTTGTTTCCATGTGAAAACCACATAGATGACTTCTAAAGATTCCTTTCCAATATGTGTTACTCTTTACATAATTGCCAGTATGTCCAGGAAAACGCTCAGCAATGCTATAATGCTACACTTCTAGTCTTGTTTTATTCATCACTGACCTACTGCAGCACTAAACCCATTCAGACACGTGATTTGCATATAAATGTCAGGCAGTGGATAAACTTGAGGAGAAAAGCCACAATAACTGGCAGACATGAAGCACTAAGCCTATCGGAAGAGATATGCTCTTCCTTGCGGCAAAGCACTAGAAAATAATGAGTTTGTATTGTGTCTTTCTGTGTAAGTTTTGTCAAGGTCTTCTGAATACAGAATACCAGAAGAAAATGGAAAAAAAAAATGAACGGATGAAATACTTACTTAGGACATACAAGTTTTCCCTTCACTTTATAGCGTTGTTATAGCCTGATATCAGGCTGATTTCCTTCTGATTTCCAATTCAAGATTTGTTTAGAGAAATACATCACGTTCTTTCTGAGTGGTTTAAGTATATGATTGATGAAACACTTGCTATTTAATCTCACTCTGTTCAAAATGCATGTAAATGATTCTTAAAAAGTCTACAGTGGCAAAGGAATTGCAGAAAATAAAAACTGTGTATTTCAAAAAAATTCCTTGAATTATACCAGATAGCCAATGGAAGACTAGTAATCAAACATGTCCTTTGCCAATTTCAGCCTGAAAATTATTACAGAAAGAGATTAAGTAATAGGAGTTCCAATTAACATCCTCCCCTCATTACTGCTTCCCTGCATAGATACCAGTTTGGGGAAGTAAAATAATTTCAGAATCAGAAGCAAACAGACTGCTGCCTTAATGAGAGCCTGTCAGCACATACAATTCAGAAAGGGAAAAATTCAGTTATAACAACCCTTCATTAGCCCAGCGAAAGTTACACTTTAAGCCAGATGTCCTCATTCATTCATTTACTGCTATTTTACTAGAGCTATTTCCTACCAGAAAATGGTAATTCTGGAAAGACTAAAACATTTCTCCATCTTATGTAAATTTTTGACAAGAAGATCTCTAAAGGTTTGATCTCAGCTTTAGCTTTCAGCTGGTTTGTAATTCTGAACTTTATTTAAAAAATCAAAACTACTGGGAATATTTAGTTCTGTGAAAGATTGCATTTTCCATCTCTTTGGTCCAGGATTTCCCTCGAAGTGGTAGCTGCTGCTTTTCAATGGGTCTGCCCTTTGGAGCTTGAAATTCTGCTCAGAAGCAAGATCCAAACCTATTCCTCTTTCATGACTTACCAGTTCTCTGCACAGGCACAGAGGTGCCAGGTTGAGCCACCACAACCCTGCACATCCAGCTGATAACAAATGCCATCTCCTAACCCATTTGCTAATTTCAATGAGCACCAGCTTCCTACAGAGATGAGCTATATCAAGAAAATAGAAGAGTCATCACTTTGACAACTTTATAGCTTGAAATTTAATTTGCTAGCATAAGAATTCAAAAGTTATCAACTCCTACTAATATTACTGCATTTCAGGCTAACAACTGAAGTAAAAAATGTTAGGTAAATAAAGCAAATTTCACAATTTATGTAGATATTACATTACCAAGAACCATTGCAAGGCAAATGTATCTATTTAAAAATATTTGGTCATTCATATACTAACCAAAACAGATTCAGTGCTGACATACAAAACACTGTCCTCAGTCAAAGACGATTCTGTTTGAGCAGAGACTGCCTTACTTGTAAAATTCACCTCACATCATCACCATAATGAAAAAGCTGATCTCTTTAGTCCCGTCTACCTTGATAAAATAAGCTTTCTGTTAGGAAAGCCTTAAAATGATTGTTCAATGACTTGTTGAGAAATGATTCATCAGAACTCAAAAGCTGTTTGCAATTTTCTTTAGTTGCTTTTCGTATTGTGCAAAGAGTTTTATTCTATCTGAGGAATTGTACAGAATTGCTTAAAGAGAAGACATTAAACTGTATTTTCAGCTTGAGTTCATATATTGATTGCTGTCTTGGCTTGAAGAAAAATACTCTTTGTGTGCATGCAAAACAGCCTTGCACACACAGTTGCAGAGGTCTCCTACTGTCCTTTATAAATTAAATATATTATTTGTATGATGCAATATTTAGAAATATATTCTAGAAATATATTTAATATTAAAACAAATACTTATATAACTTTGATTAATATTTTAGATAGGTATCCATTCTTGTTTTATGGGGCTCAGATAATTTTTTATTAATAATTTTAAATTGAGATAATACTAGGTTCTCTAAAAATATTATTTCACTGGGAAATCTTTATGGGAAGAATTTTAGAGTAGATTATGAGTACAGTGATAGTGCAATTTTAGTACTAAGAACAGAATGCAAATTCCCTTCCTTATCACCACAGCTGAGAGGTGAAGTTTCTTCATTTGTTTAACACAAGATGAATAATTTCACTTTTATTTGGACATACTTTTTTTTCTTTTATATATCCTTCCTATGACCAACTCCTGCCGGTTAAACTGGTCTAATGCCTTACTTTCAAAACAAAATAGCCCTCTTTTTCTGGCAGACACATTTATAACTGTCAGTCTGAAAGACCTTCCTAATCTGTATCATTCAACTCGCCAACATTCAAACATGAGATATGTTATGCAAGAAAACTGAAAACCAGAGTCTGGCAGAAATTACTGGCAGAAATACTCAAGAAAAATAAAATTCTTGCAGAATCATTCATTCACTGTAAATAAAGCTGGCTTACTTCTGATGTAAATAATTTTCAACAATAAAATTGAAGAAATGCCAAGTTCCCATGAGGACTAAAACAAGTGCAGTCCTTGCTGTGTGTGTCTTTTAACAGAAATGTCTCTGTGTAGCAAAACCTTTTACAGTCCTTAGCATCTACCTGACTGGCAGTGACAATTTGCCTTCCTGAGACAAGAACACATTTCTAATCCAAATTGTACAGGGCCTTTACAGAACATCAGATTGAACAGCCAGGTTCATAAGTGAGCTTTACAATGACTTTAATGGAGAACCACCACAAAGATCTTCCTCACTAGGGCAAGTAACAATGTGACTGATGATGTTTATTTTCATTCCAGCCTACTTGCTGCAGGTGGAGGAAATCGAAGGACTGCCAATGTGGTGGCTCATGGTTTTGCCAACCTTTTCATTCTGGACAAGAAAACACTAAATGACATCTTGAGGCACTACCCTGACTCAGAAAAGCTTCTCATGAAGAAAGCAAAGTATGTCCTAACAACAGTTTTTAAGTCATATCATTTAGCTTAAGCAGAATGGACAGTTGTGACTTCTGAACAAATTCCTTTCTTGGAAGCATAACACATATAAACACATTTCTATTTAGAGCTAAGATTTGCCTGGTATTTTATAGTGGAAAGCAGGGTCTTGGCAGGAATCCTAAGGGTTGTGGAAGCTTGGTAAGTAGAATGAAATCCTCAGTGTAGTTGCCTTCAGCATTGTATTTAAGGTAACAAAACAAATGGGAGATGAAGATACATACCAGGATTCCTTACATAGTCAAGAAAGAAACTGCAGAAGAGATGTCAGTTAAGCACCAGGTTTTCAAAGACACAACCAAACACTTACAATTAATTCTACAGAGATGTGCTTCAATGCACCCACAGAATTGTATGCATTTTCAAAACCCTACATAGCAGTTAGGAATGGATTTAAAGTAAGGCCCGACAAGACGGGGGTACAAAGATTAGAGAGCTGTGCATTATGTTCAAAAGCATAAAATTATGACAAAATTAATAACTTGCTACCTTGTTAAAGGTCCAAAAACTCAAAACAGTTTGTCATTATTAGTATACTTCAGCACTCCTATTATTCTCAACTGTTGCCTTTGAATTGCTATCAAAGGTTGGAAGGTTGGTCCCAGACTTGAAATTTCACCAAAGACTAAACATAGCACAGGAGTGATATATCGTTTCATGGAAGTGCTAGCAGATGGCTGTATTCAATATGTTGCAACAGCCCTGGTTGTCAAACAACAGTATCTTGAGAATCACCACGCCCCTGAGGAACAAGGATCCCAGACACAGAATGGGCTTATTGCTCAATTTTCAAAACCAGCATCAAAAGGTAGAAAAGTATAACAAATCCACTGCTCAATGGTCCCCAGAATTTCTTTCCTGACTTTTCTCTAGCTTCTATTTAAACATCAGTACAACCATCACTACTTGTTATTTCTGTCTCTCTGCCCCACATTACCTCTTCTGCCTTCTTGCCCACCCTGATCATATTTTGCCAATCCATTAAATTCTGCTTCCACCAGTAGTCTTTCTCAATTGCGGAGCTTAATCATCCAACTTTTGTACCTGCACTCCTATTTGAGCTCACAGCCCTCTCTAGATATCAGACTAAATACATGATATCCTGTTTAATGTTAAAGATATGCAGTACCTGCCCTGTGCTGGAAGCTACATATTTTGCCCGCCTGCCTAGGTATCCACTAATTCTGCCAAAACTAGGTAACAAGAGAAAATTTGTGCAGTTTTGATAAGGATTGCAGTTATGTTCAGTTTTGGAAAGAAGATGCCAGTTGCTCTGCTCTGGTAGGTTTACATTAGAGTTCTCTGTGGCCATCTGACAACTTTAAAGGGCTCCTTGAAATAAACTCAAAAGATTTATTCAAGCAAGAAATTCATTCTATCACCACCTGCCCGATACCCACATCTTTACATAACAAAGCCAGGCAAGTTGCTGAAGTGTAGTTTTTTAATTAATGACAAAACTGAAAAAAAAATTGTAAAAGTTACACTTCTGAAATTTCTAAAGTACAAGATGTTGGAGAAAATTATAGTATTATGGAATTTACTGTACTACAGACTGCAAGTATAGTCCTTCTTCATAAAAAGCCTTAAGCTTTGCAAGGATAGAAAAGTTGCCTTGAAAAACTGTACAATAATCTAATAGACACTGAAAGCAGGGGAACCCTCTGCTTTCCACTGGTTTCATGTATCTCAGATCTGTCATCTAATCTTTACCCTCAACATTCATTCTCACTTCTTGTCATTATGGCTCCAAACCAGCACAGCTACAGAATGGTGTGAAAATCTAGTCTGCCATATGATTGGCTGTAATGTTTATATCTTCAGAGTGTCTTCTTCTACTGAAGAAGACTAAAAATAAGTACCACTGTCTAACCTGACCTATGAGAAATGAGCCATGCAGGAAATTACTTTGGTAAACTATTACTTCCACAAGTCTCAGCTGGACTCCCAGTGGAGCATTAAATGCTCTAAGAATTTGCATCCAGAAGTCCAGGCAAGAGACTGACACCTCAGGTATGGGACACCCATCCACCTCCACACCTCTTTTCTCCCTATGTAATTCTCATCTGCTTTGTGACATGTCAATTTGAGCCAGCAGCTGCTTATTCTCCAGGATATAGGTAAGCAACTCCAAATTTGAACAGTTACCTCCAATTCTACCAGAGCCTGGGGCAAAACCCTTATCATTTCAAGTTTTGCTCTTATCACTGGACCTGTGAAACAAGGAAAGTTTGGCTGTAAAAGCTTCCAGATTTTTGTGCATGAATGTGGTATTTCAGCTTAGCAGGAACTTCGCCCATTTTCACAGCACTGCTTTGTGTCCTCATTCCCTTCCATCTCCAGGGTGCTGCTGAAGCAGAAGGGGAAACCTCCTCCAGGACCACCAGTGCCTCAACCACGAGGCTTGGCCAGTCTCTTTGGGCAGAAACAAGAAACTCCAAAATTGTTTAAAGCAATGCTTGGAGCAAAAGGAAAAGATGGCCTTGCTAAGCTGCTGCAGCTGAAGAGACAACAAGAAGCTGAGGTAAAGCCACAGAAAATAGACTAGAATCTTCCAGGTGCTGAAAGATTCTTTGAGGGCTTGGGCAAACAGAGTAGATGAAAATTTAGCCTTACTGCAATTAACAGCAAAAGCTCTCAGTAGCTGAGATATAACCACTTTCCTAATCTGTAAACATTGATTCTAAAATTTGGCTCAAATCTTTGTGAACCTAGACTCTATGCAGAGCAGAGAAAAAAAAAAAAAGCAAGCTAACAAAAATCCTCAAAGAAAGTAAGGCCCTGAGGGCATCTGATCTTCTAGTTTTATGTAAACAACAGTAAATACAAAAATATCTTAACACAGTAATCTGATCCAGCTGACTCGGGCACATGGTGAACTTTCCAATTCAGTGTCAGATCTCTGGTTGTTACAAATCCTGAAGACAAAATG